AACAGTCCACTGGATGCAGGTAATGGTGAAGCCAAGGAGGGCAGTCAGAGGAAAGGGAAAGTGAGAGAGACATTTTTGAGGTCCACTGCTTAAGACAAGGCCCACTAAAGACTGAGCCTTCATCAAAAGATTCTAATATGCTCCCATCCCCAAACCCTGATCCCACACTAAGTCTCTAACATAACAACAGATTACATAGGAAAGAGCTCCAAGACAACTTTCCTTTGAGAAGTCATTTATAGGGAAGCCCTAAGCCAAGATGAGAGATGGAACTTTGAAGACACTGGTACTGACAACCACAGCAAAGATTAAGCATGGTCTACCTCCTAGAAATAACAGCACAAATTCTCACACTGAAGGCTGCCTTAGTATTGGTTACCCACGGTAACATGTCTGCTTGCAACAAAAAATCACACAGTACACCAAAACAAGAACAAATGGTTTGAAGAGCTAAAGCAAATATCAAAGCCTTAGGCACATATGACACAGATGTTGAAATTATCAGATAAGGAATGTAAAATAATTATGATTAACATGTTAAGGGCTCTAATGTAAAAAGTACAAAATATGCAAGATCAGATATGAAGAAATGTCAGCATGGAAATGGAAACTATAAAAAATAATCAAAAAGAAATCATTGGGGGTGCCTGGGTGGCTCAGTAGGTTAAGTATCCTACTCATGGTTTCAGCTCATGCCATGATCTCAGGGTTGTGAGATAAAACCCCACATCGGGCTCCATGCTAGGCATGGAGCCTGCTTAAGATTCTCTCTCTATCTTTGCACCCCCCCAGCACTCTATCTCTCTATCTCTCTCAAATAATAAATAAATAAATAAAATATTTTTTAAAAATAGAAAAATCATTGGCATCAAAGTCACAGAAGCAATAATGAAGAATAGCTTTTATAGGTTCATCAGTAGACTCAGCAAAAAGAATTAGTAAATTTTAAGAAAAGTCAATAGCAACTTTCCAACTTAAACATGATGATAAAAAAGAATAAAAAAAATAACCCTGAGAAATCCAAGAACTCTGGGATGATATTAAAAGGTATAACATTCATGTAATTGAAATACCAGATGGAGAAGAGAGAGGAGGCTATGAGAAGTACTTGAAATACCAATGACTAAGAATTTTCCAAAATTAATGACAGGCACCAAAACACATGTTAAGGAGCTAGGAGAACTCTAACAACACCAAGAAAATCTTGAATGAAGACTGAGGAAAAAAAAAAAAAACTTCTATAGAAACAAGGGTAAAAATTACATCAGACTTCCCATAAGAAACTACACAAGCAAGAAGAGAGTGGAATAAAATATAAAGGAGTGCACTTGTGATAAGCACCGGGTGTTGTATGGAAGTGTTGAATCACTATATTGTACACCTAAACTAATATTACACTGTATGTTAACTAACTGGAATTTAAGTAAAAACTTAAAAATAAATAAATACATACATAAATAGATAGATAGATAGATAGATAGATAGATAGATAGATAAATAAATAAATAAATAAATAAATAAATAAATAAATAAATAAATAAATAAATAAAATGCCGGGGTGGGGGGGCGGAATATGCCATCCTAGGATTCTATATCCAAGATTTTCTCAGCAAATATAACTGAAAAAAATATTAAAATAAGCTTTTCAGGCAGAAGAGAAAATGATATAGACCAGATATTTGGATCTACATAAAACAAAGAGCATCAGAGAAAGAATAAAGGTAAAATAAAATAGTTTATTGCTCTTAACTGATCTAAAAGATAACTGATTGCTTAATGTAATAATAATGATAATGTACTAGATGATTATAGCCTATAAATAAGTAAAATAAATGACAGTAATGTTATAAGAGATAGGAGGGGAAATTTATAAATGTAAGATATCTACAGTAAATGTTTAGTAGTATAGTACTATTTGAAGGTGGATTTAAATTAGTTAAAAATGCATAAACTCTAGAACATCACTATTTTTAAGTATAATTAATATGCTGAGAAGGGATAGAGTCATCTTAAATGCTTAATTAAAACAAAAGAAGGGAGGGCGCCTGGGTGGCTCAGTTGGTTAAGCGACTGCCTTCAGCTCAGGTCATGATCCTGGAGTCCCGGGATCGAGTCCCGCATCGGGCTCCCTGCTCGGCAGGGAGTCTGCTTCTCCCTCTGACCCTCCTCCCTCTCATGCTCTCTGTCTCTCATTCTCTCTGTCTCAAATAAATAAATAAAATCTTTATTAAAAAAAAAAAAGAAGGGAGAAAATGAGGGGTAAAAAGAAACAACGAACAAATGCAATAGGCCAAAAAAAAAAAAAAAAGTTGCAAGATGGGAGATATTAGTCTAGCTACATCAATAATCATTTAAGATGTGAATGATCTAGATACACCAAATAAAATATAGATACTGTCAGAGTGGATTAAAAAACAACAATGACACCCAATTATATGTTGACTATAAGAATCCCATTTTATATATAAGGACCTAGGATAAAAATAAAGGGATAGAGTGGCATATGCCCTGTTAACACTAATCAAGAGAAAGCTGCCATAGCTATATTAATTCAAGGCAAAGTGGACTTCAGAACAAAGAGGCTTATTGGGTTTAAAGGAGGGACATTACTTAATTATAAAGGGGCCAATTCTCTAAGAAACAGAACAATCCCAAATGTGTATGCATCTAACAAAAAAAGCATAAAAATTGTGAACAGTCACTGATAGAGGTGAAAGGAGAAACAAACAAATCCACTGTAATAGTTGATGATTTCAAATGCCTCTGTCAATAACTTACAGGTTAAACAGGAAAATATTCAGGGTATAGATGCAGTGCACTGTGAATCAAGACACTTACCAGAATAGTCCATACATCTGCAGAAAAATACACATTCTTGTTGAGCTAATATGGAACATTCACCAGAATAGACCATACTCTGGGCCATAAAAAACACACAAATTTAAATAATAGAAATCATAAAAAGTATATTCTTAGAAGAAATGCAAATAAATTAGAAATCAATAGCAGAAAGATAGCTGGACATTTCCCCAATACTTGGAGATTATGCAACACAATTCAAACATTAAATAACAAAGAAATATTGAGAAATTGAAGAGAAATTTAAAAATGTGAATGAAAATGAAACATCAAAATGGGTAAACAGCTAAAACAATGTTTAGAGGAATATTAATACCATTAAGTGCATATATTGTTATTTTTTATTTTTTTATTTTTTTATTTTTTATTATGTTATGTTAGTCACCATACAGTACATATATTTTTTAAAAAAGAAAGATCTGTGTGTTATACTCAACTAACGAATCGTTGAACACTACATCAAAAACTAATGATGTATACTATATGTTGGCTCACTGAACATAATAAAAAAAAAAAAAAAGAAAGAAAAAGAAAGATCTAACATCAATTACCTGAGCTTCGACCTTAGGAAATCAGAGAAAAGTGAACAACTAAAACAACTAAAAGCTAGAAGGAACATCAATACAATTGGAAACAGGAAAACAATAGAAAAGCAACAAAACCAAAAGCTAGTTCTTTAAAAACAACAACAAAAAAACCACAATAAATTTGAAAATCATCTTGGCCATCTGACCAAGAGAAAAAGACTTGAGATATAAGTTATCAATACCAGAAATGAAAGAGATCTAACCACTGCTGATCCCATGGACATGAAAGAGGTAAATGAATACTGTGACCAACTTTATGCCTCCAAATTTGACAACTTAGATGAAATGGACAATTTCTGGAAAGAATAAAATGACCAAAACCCACTCCTGGAGAAATAAATAATTTGAATAACTCCATATCTATTAAAGAAATGGAATTAATAATTAAAAACTTTCAAGGCCCAGAGAGTTCCTTTGAAGAATTCTATCAGGTATTAAAGGAAAACCTACTACCAATTCTCCACAATCTCTTTCAGATAATAGAAGGAGTACAAGCACATTCCAGTTCACTTTTTGAGAATGGAATTAATCTAAAAACATATCAGCTAAACATATTAAAATAAAACTACAAATGTTAATCTGTAGTTATTAGTAAATCTTTGTAAATCAATTTCAGTGATATTAGTAAAGCAAATACATCATGACCAAGTGTGGTTCATTACAGGAATATAAGTTTAGTTCAATACTTGTAAATCAAAAAACAGTCTGATCCATTATATTAGCAGACTGAATAGCAGACTGAATAAGACACAAACATATCATATCAATAGATGCAGGAAAAGTCTCAACATAATTCAACATGCATTCATAATAATAATAAAAACACTCTCAAAAATCTAGGATTAGAAGGGCTCTTCCTCAAACTGACAAAATGAATATATGAAAACATAGCTAACATCATACTTAAAGATGAGCAACTGGCTTTTTTCTCTTTTTTGTTGTTACTTTTCTTTTTTTTCCTCTTTTTTATTGTTATGTTAATCACCATACATTACATCATTAGTTTTTGTTGTAGTGTTCCATGATTCATTATTTGCGTATAACACCCAGGGCTCCATGCAGAACGTGCCCTCTTTAATACCCATCACCAGGCTAAGCCATCCTCCCACCCCCCTCCCCTCTAGAACCCTCAGTTTGTTTTTCAGGGTCCATCGTCTCTCATTGTTCATCTCCCCCTCCGATTTCCCCCACTTCATTCTTCCCCTCCTGCTATCTTCTTCTTCTTCTTTTTTTTTTTTTAACATATAATGTATTATTTGTTTCAGAGGTACAAATCTGTGATTCAACAGTCTTGCACAATTCACAGAGCTCACCATAGCACATACCCTCCCCAATGTCTATCTTCTTCAGAAAAGGCAAGAATGTTCTCTGTCACTACACCAATTCAGCATTGTCTTAGAGGTCCTGCATAGGTAATAAGCCAAGGGGAAAAAAAGGGAAACACAGTTTGAACAGGAAGAAACATATCTGCATTTATTCCCTGATGGACATTATCATCCTTGTAGAAAAACACGGGGAATCTATTTTTAAAAACCCCCAGAAATAATAGGCAAGTATAGCAAAATTGTAGGATATAAGGTCAATATACAAAATTTAATAACTTCCCCATATACCAATTTTAAACAACTGGACTTTGAAATCAAGCAAACAGTATTTTTTACAGTAATGCAAAAAAAAATACTCAAGAACAAATCTAGCAAAATATATATGGGATCTATATACAGAAAACTAGAAACAAACACCAGTAAAATAAACCTAGACCAGACCTGAAATTTTATGCAAAAATAGAATCAAAATGGATCATAGACCTAAAAGTAAAATGCAAAAGTATAAAATATCTTGAATAAAACATAGGAAAAATATCTATGTGACTTTGGGTTTTGTAACGAGTTTTTTAGATAAAACTCTAAGAGCATGATTCATGAAATAATAAATAGATAGGTTGTACTTTATTAAAATTAAAACTTAATGCTCTGTAAAAAATGATGCTAAAGAAAGACAAGTAACTCCTTGGGAGAAAATACTTAGAAAACACATATATCTGCATAACATCTGCATGATATTCTACAATATAATACTGTATGGCTCTGCATGATAATGTGAGGATAAATGCATGACAATATACAACTGCTAAAACCTATAGAAGTTGCAGCATAGAGAATGAACCTTGATCTATACAAATTTTTAAAAATCACTTAGAAGGTTGGGGAGTCCCAGGACAGAATATAGACAGTGACTAGAGAATCTAACTGTATTATGAATCTATGCTATGCTATATTCTCACTGAAGGGAGTTTAGGAAAAGAGGTTGACAAAAGTAACTTAGTAATAAATGGACACTGTAATATCAAAGGTGAAAGGCACAGTACACAAAGCAGTCTACTTGGTCAAGTTGATTCCCCCTGGACTACAGGTTAACAATTCTGAAACCTCTAACCATGTGTGATATTGTGATTTATGATAAGAAACATATTTGGTCTTTGTGCCCATTTTTGCAACCAGCCATGTGATTAGAGAGTTGGACCTGTCAATCCCATGCCCAACCTCCTGGGAGGCTAGAGGAGTTGGAGATTGATTTCAATCACTAATGCCCAGTGATTTAATCAATCATGTATAGGTAATGAAGCCTCTGTGCAAACCCAAAGGATGGTGTTTGTAGAGCTTCTGTGTTGGTGAACATGTGGAGATTCTGCAAGAGTGGTATCTGGAGAGGGCATGAAAGCGCCACACCTTCCCACATACCTTGCCCTAGGCATTTCTCTCATATTCTTTTAAAATAAACCAGCCACCTAGTAGTACAATGTTTTTTTGAGTTCTGTGAGCTGCTATAACAAATTAATCAAACCCAAGGAGGGGTTTGTTGGAACCTCCAATCTATAGCTGGTGGGTCAGAAGCACAGGTGACAACCTGGACTTACATTTGGTGTCTGAAGTCAAAGAGGGGATAATCTTGTAGGACTGAGCCCTTAACCTGTGGGATCTGAAGCTATCTCTGGGTAGATAGTGTTAGGATTGAGATAAATTATAGGATACCTAGCTGGTGTCTACAGCATTACTTAGTGGTCTGGGGGAACCCACACACACATTGGAAATTGAGAGCAGAACCATTTTACTATATGTACTAGAATCAAAGTAAATGAATGACAGAGGTGAGAGTCAGTTTCCTTGCTATTGGAGTGCAAGGTTACAGATAAGCAAGGGACTAAAATCATCAGTGTGGTACTTGACTGGAGTTGAATATATCAGTATCAACTTACGTTTAGCTTGATATAGGTATATATGTGCACATATAGAAAAAATATAGATATACATATATACATGAAATAGTATATGCACATATATCCCCTTACTATATCAGCTGAGAGAGCCTAGAAGGAACCATACCCCATTTGTATGAACACATTCAGTGTCCAGATATTTACTGTACTATTATTCTCCACTAAAAGAAACCAGGACTCTTCAGATAAATGACTGATTTTATGGCTGAAGCAGGGAATATACAAAATATGCCTGAAGCAACTTGTGCCAGAAGTAAGTACTCAACAACAACAACAACAAAAATGTAAACTCACATTTTTGGGTGTATGTCAAAGGGGCACCAGGAGTCAACTGAAAGAACTCCCAACGGCCAAAGCTGGAATATTTGAGCAGCTCAATAAATAATGCAGTGTAATATTCTAGTCGAAAGTATAAAATAAATATCCATGAGTCCTTACCCATATAAGTAAGTTATTGAATAAGTATGGAGAAGGAGAGATCAATACCCTGTGCAGAAAAATTCCAAAAAATTGTGTATAGATCTTCCTCCTCAAGTATGTGGTGTATCACTCTCCAGTCTGATTATAAGGAAAACATCAGACGAATTCCAGTGGAGGGCATTCTATAAAGTGTCCTACCAGTACTCCTTGGGAATATGGATAGGAAACATTTTGACAATTCAGTTAATGTACTTGATGTAACAGACGTAATTAAAGCCCAAGAAGTCAGAAAAACAGAAGGAAAGGAAACCCAAAGAAAGTCACTGAAAAAAAAAATTAGACCCCCAAATAAGAAAAAAAAATAATAAAGATAAGGACTTCATAAAAGATAGCTAGTTTAATAGTCAAGGACCCTCTGTGTGCAGACAATATTCTGTGCTGTAGAAATAACACATAATAAAGCACATCTCTGCCCTCAAAATGCTGGCACATTTAGTAGAAAGACATGATCATCAACATCACTAAGTCAATAATGTGGTGGATCTATTGATGGTAAGTGCTATGGAGAAGAAGTCAGCAGGGAAGAGAAGAGGCAATGTCATTTCAAATCAAGTCTTCAGGGAAGGCCTCATTGCAAATTAATATTTGAACAAAGAAGGACAAGCAGGAGGCTCATCAGGGGCAAAATCTTTGGTTGAGAATGTGCTTGCAGTCTTTGAGGAGCAGCCTGGAGGCCTGAAAAGCAGTCTTCAAATCCACAAGTACCACGGTGACTGGTGTGAAGTGTGTGAGGGGGCTCCACCTGTTTAAAATACATTCAGCTTTAAATGAGAGGGCTGGGCTGATGACAAATATATAACATACTCCCCATCTCAGCACCCTTTAGAGACAGTGCTAATTAATCACATTTCTTTTTCCAAATGTGCCCTCAAAATCTCATTGGCATCAAGTGTTGCAACACACTGTCACCCATTGGTCAGAGGTGATGGATTTCTCTTCTAAAATGTGATGCTTTTCTTGAAGTAAGACAAAGACCTGCCATCCACGAGTACTTTGGGAAAACGGGGACACAGCTGAATTAGAATGGGGTGAGGGAGGAAGAAAGCTGAGCACCACGTAAAATAGCCAGATGAGCAGCTGTGCGAGTGAGGTATCCCAACACACCCAAGATGGGCCTTTCCGAAGGTGACCTCTGGGGATGTGGGAGGTTCCAGGAAAGCAGGTAAGTGGATGTCCCCTCCTCCAAATGTCTGCAAGCTCCAGGGTTAAAGAACCGCCCATTTAGCCTCCCACATTGCCATGTTTTCCTTCTGTTTTCCCCTCCTTGCATTTTCTTTAATGTAATAAGTAACCACAGACTTATTGCAAGGCACTAATTTTATTGAAGGAACAAATGGGCTCTTCTTTATTTGCATTCTAGGCACTGACAAAATACAATAATTCTATCAACTGGTATCTCAAATAAGTCAGATTTATAATTTCTCCCAGTTTGATTTGGTCCAAAAATTAAAAAGATTGAAAATATTGTTGGCAGTATAAATTGACAACTTAATTGGTGGTAAAATAAAACTCAGCACCAGATAATCGAAAGGCTTTCCAACTGATGTTAAATTGCTTCTTCCCAGGAAGGATGAACAGCTACTATTTGATGCCTAGAGGGAAAAGTAAGTTCCTTTCTTTATCTAGCACAAAGCAACTGCCTTTATATGCATATTTAAAGCAAAAATTAAGTAAAAAATGCTGATTATATAAAGGGCTAATGAAAGTGGCCTAGGTTGGCTGGGGTAGTTCAAATCTCAGGACCAAAAGTCATTCTTCCTGCCTTGGTCTAAGGCTCACCAAAAGACTTTAGATTTCAGACTACCTCTGGCTTTCACCCTGGGATTTGTTTTGTTTGTTTGTTTTCACCTGCATGGTAAATGACTCTGATTGCTATTGGTCAGCATAGAGTGAGGAAGAGATGAACCATTTATTTAATAAATATATATGACTACCTTCTGTGGGCCTGTCACTATACTACGTGCTAGGTTCAGGATGGCAAATATAAAAGACATGGTCCCTGCCTTTGTAAAGCTTAGAGTCTAGGAGAGGCCAACGAGGAGAGACCTGTTTCTGAGATTCAGGCCACAGGCATAATATTTATCTACCAGAGGATACAAAATGGTGATCATTGGACAGACTCTGGCCTCAAGTCATGATTTTTAGGGTCTTCCTGGGCTTTATTTTAAATTGAATTCAAATGCCAAAAAAAGACAGTCAATGTTTTTAAATGGCAGTTGTATTCATATGCCAAAAATTCTCCATTTTAAAATGTACATTTTAGTGGGTTTTGGAATATACAGTTGTGCAATGTCACCACTACTAAATGGTGAAGATAATAAAAGGCTCATCACCTTTTGAGGTAATGGAAACTCTGAACCCATCAGCGAATATCCTATAAATCCCTCTCTCTCTAGCCCAGGAAAACCACTCCTCTACTTTATTTTCTTTATGGATTTTTCTATTACAGAAAATTATGTATGACTACAGAAAATATGTGTTCTATTGTGGCTGGCTTCTTTCACTTGTCATAATGTTTTCAAGATTCATCCATGTTGTAGCAAGTATGAGGACTGTATTCCCTTCCATTGCCAGACAGTATTTCATTGCATATATAATATTATGATTTATAATACAAAACATATATTTGGTTTTTGTGCCCATTTCTGGCAGAGAGCTCCTAAAGTTTTTGGAATTTCCCAAGTTATGAGAGCAATGATGCCTTTTGTTGTGTTACTCAGGGAACATTTGGGAAGCATCTCAAGATGGTTGCTAGGAGATGGAACTTTTTGTACCATCTCCCTGACCTCCAGGGAATGGAATGGGTCCAAAGAATGAGTAGGGCTGAAGTGGGGCTAGAGATTGAGTTAAATTGCCAATGATTTCATCAATCATGCCTATGTAATGAAGCCTCCATTTAAAAAATAATAATTGTTTTAAAGACTAGGTTTGGAGAGCTTCTAGGTTGGTGGACATACAAACATTTAGGGAGAGTAGTGCATTCAGAGCAAGCATGGAAGGTTCATGCCCTTTCTATATGCCTTGTCTTATGCCACTCTTCCATCTGGTTGTTTCTCAGTTATATCCTTTTATAATAAACTTATAGTTTAGTAAGTAAAACATTTCTCTGAATTCTGTGATCTGCTTTAGCAAACTAATTAAGCCCATGGAGGGAGGTCACTGAAATTTCCAATCTATAGCAGGTTGATCAAAAGCACAGGTGACTGTGATTTGTAATTGGCATCTGAAGGGAAGGCAGTCTTGTGGAACCAAGATCTTAATCTGTGGGATCTTATGCTATTTCTAAAGTGTCAGAATTGAGTGGAGTGGTAGGACACCCAGCTGGTATAGGAGCATCGCTTTGTGATGTGGAGAATCAAAACTTTTAATATGGATATGCCACATTTTATTTATCTATTGATCAGTGGATGGACTTTTTTTTTTTTTTTTCTATTTTGGGCTAAACACGTGTAGATTTTTGTGGACATATGCTTTTATTTCCCTCAGGTATATATGTAGGAATTAAGCTGCTGGGTCACACGGTAACTCAATCTTTAATATTTTGAGGAACTACCAAACTGTTTTCCAAAATAAATGCACCATTTTAATTCCCTAAAGCAATGCATGAGTGCCCCAATTTCTCCACATCCTTGTCAAAACTTGTTATAATCTGCCTTTTTAATTTTAGGCATCCTAGCACATGTGAGTAGAATCTCATTATGGTTTTGATTTTCATTTCTCTAAAAACTAATTATGATTATCATCTTTTCATATGCTTATTGGCCATTTGTATACATATTTTGGAGAAAAGTGTATTCAAATATTTGCAAATTTTTAAAATTTGTATATTTGCAGCAAAATTAAATAAAAAGTGCTGATTATATAAAAGGCTAACAGAATAACAATAAATTAATTGTTATTACCAATGTAATGCTGTATTGGTTTCAGGAGTAGATAGCCAAAGATCTATTTGGCTCTAATAGATCAAATCTAGGGAGCACAAGTCCCTATAAACTCACCTATGACTCACTTATCTTGCCTTCATCTGAGCTATGCCAGGCTCACTGGAGGACTTTAGCTTTTGAGCACTCTCTGGGTTCCATTCCATGGCTTGTTTTCCCTCCTTCACAGAAAATGTCTTGGTTTGCTACCGATGATTTAGCAGCAAGTTATCATTGAATTATGTTTCAGAAGTCTTTTATCAGGTATGATTTGTTGATATTTTTCCCATTCTTTTTGTTATCTTTTCAAACCTTTGATGGTGTCCATTGAAGCAGAAAAGTTTTTAGTTTTGTTGAAGTCTCTCTCTTTTTTTTTTTTTTGCCTTTGCTTTGGTGTTAAATCTAAATTTAAATGCCAAACCCAAGGTCATGAATATTTAATCCTATATGTTATTCTAAGAGTTGTACAGTTTAAGATCTGAACTTTAAGTATAAGATTAATTTGTGGTTGTTCGCTTTTTTTTTTTTTTCAGTGTGAGGTAGGGGTTCAAATTCATTCTATGCTTGTGGATTTCTACCTATCCCAGCACCATTTGTTGAAAAGACTATTCTTTCCCCATTTCTTATTTCATTCTTGTCAAAAAAATCAATTGACAATAAGATAAGTATTTCTGAATTCTAAAGTCTACTACACTGATTTTTGTTTCTATAATTACGTCAGTAACACAGTATCTCAGTAACTGTAGATCTATTGTCAGTTTTGAGATCAGGAATGTGTGATTCCTGAAAATTTATCTATTTCAAGATTGTATGGCTGTTCCACATCCCTTGCATGTCTGTATGGATTTTAGGACAAACTTGCCAATTTCTGCAAACACAAAAACTTAGGGATTACAACATTAAATTTGTAGATCAATTTGGGGTATATTTCTATATTAATATTACATTTCATATCCATGGACTTAGGATTTCTTTCAATTTATTTAGATCTTTAATTTCCTTCAATGATATTTTGTAACTTTTGAGTGTAAAATTCTTGCAATCTTTGTTAAATTTATTCATAATTACTTTTTCTTTTTTATAATAATTTAAGTGCAATAGCTTTCTTAATTTAATTTTTGGATCCCTTTTTTCTTTTTTAAAAATTTTATTATGTTATGTTAGTCACCATACAATACATTATTAGTTTTTGATGTGGTGTTCCACGATCCATTTTTTTCATATAACACCCAGTGCTCCATGCAGTACGTGCCCTCCTTAATACCCATCACTGAGCTAGCCAGTCCCCCCTCTCCCACTCCCCTCTAGTCTCTCATGGTTCATCTCTCCCTCCGATTTTCCTCCCTTCATTTTTCCCTTCCTTCTCCTAATGTCCTCCATGCTATTCCTTATGTTCCACAATAAGTGAAACTATATGATAATTGACTTTCTCTGCTTGACTTATTTCACTTAGCATAATCTCCTCCAGTCCCATCCATGTTGATGTAAAAGTTGGATCCTTTACTTCTAGTATATAGAATACAACTGATTTTTGCATATTGGCATTTAACCCTACAACCTTGCTAGACTTCTTTATTAGTTCTACTGTTTATGTGGATTCCTTATGATTTTATATATAACAATATTATGCATTTGGTTGATAGAGAGTTTTACTCCCTCTTTTCCAGTCTGAATGCCATTTATTTACTTTCTTCCCTAACTACCCTGGATAGAAACTCCAAGCCATGAGTGGAGACAACCTAGTCTTGTTCCTGATCTTAGGGGGGAAATAGTCAGTGTCTCACCATTAGATAATAAGTTATGGAATCTTTGTACATTCCTT